CCAAGACGAAGAAAGTGAGCATCGTTGTGAATCAAAAGCAAGAAGTGAAGTCTATCCTCTCCTTGTAATGACCCATGTCCAGGATTCAGTATTCAGATTTGACACTTGATGACTTCGACATTCTCTTGCATCTCCTGCCTGCGAAATGATTACCTACGTTCCTTCCTCTCTTCATAAGAGTGAAGTCTATCTCCACACAACAACCGAGCCCATCTATCATGTTTTGTCATTTTTCACATATATTCCGCGAAAAAAATTTAAGCCTCTCTTCATCTTATCCTCAGGATCGCTCTCGCTGGAATATGACTTCGGTTCATTCATATACTTCTATGTTTGAATTTTGTATTAAAATTGCAATTAGGAATTGAAGTATGATGGAAAGGACATAAGAAATAGATTGAAAAGAAACAAAAATAAATCTTGGGATTCACAAAAATATGTGTTGCAGAATCGGCCAGTGACCAATGTTTGAATTCCAAGCTGTCCAAACTTTGACTTTTTTGTTCTTTTTGCTGTCGAATTAATCTAACGGTTGTTGGTTTGTGATTAGCTTAGTCAACATTTAATCAACATGCTTCTACTTTATTCAATTATAAAATTCAAATCAAATTAATTCAAACTTTAATAATTTGATTATTATCTATTTTATGTTTACCATATGCTATCATTTCTTTAACTTCTCAATACTAAATATTTAATACTCTCACTTATTATTTCCATATAAAAATTAAATTCTTTCTCAATTTTTATTTTTAATTTTTTATATATGCATCTCCTATATACAAATTCAAGATGCATCTAATATTAACTCGAACAGTCACGTTTCATCGACATCAATTACATCTATTATACTTAAATTTACTAGAATTGGAGTGGCAAAAATTATCCTCTATAGTTTGTTTTAATATTTTATAAATAATTAAATTTTAATTAATGATATACAAAACGATCTTATATACAAGTAAAAATCATTAAGATATCCATGGCTCGGGTGCAAGGACAAGAAAACTTGACTTTCCCGTCCAATCTCCGCCACTTATTTTATTTCCAATTCTCACTAAATTCTCCATTTATTTTTGTGGGGATCAGGTGAAGATTCCGATTATTATTCTTTTAAAAAATAGTTATTTTAAAGTTTTCATTTTTCAATATAATATTTAATAATATATTTGAATATGTTCAAATATATTTATATTAAGCGGAACATATGCAAACCAAATATATAATCACAAAATAAATAATAAATAAATAAAAATAAATATAATTCTTCACTCAGTTCATAAATTAAAGAGTATTAGGTGTAATACACTAAGCTTATAAACTCATACATATTTCCATCAAGCAACAAATTAATAATAATCTCATGGGTTTTGCTTTGGATTTACCAGATCTTCCAACACCTCATACCCAGGAACCTCGTAGTATTGTTGCTGCACATCCACCCCTCCATAGAACTCGCCGGACAAGATTCTCGCCGGAATCAACGACGGTGAAGCCGACGGCGGATAAACTCCGGCCACATTGTGCCCTCGAAGTGTAATCGGACAGTAGTGGTTGTGTTTCCCTTCATACGTTGTTACAACAAAACATGGATCTTCTGATGATCTTTCTACTCTCTTTTTCACACTGCAATTTTGACTCGTGCATTTATAATAACTTCTGCAACCCCACGAAAACCCGAATGCAAATTCGATTTAGATCATATCGAAATTAGAAGACTCACAAACCCTTTCGACGAAAATTAAAAAAACGAAGCATTTCAAAAGTTTAGAGATTAAAATGGAACGCAAATGAATTATGAAACTACAAAAGACAAACAATTTTAGGGTTATGAAATCAAACCATAAAAGTTTACCACTAGATTTGGTTTTTTTACACTAATTTTGTACAAAAGTGGCATAGAAACATACAGATCTAAATGATATATTTACCAAAGATTAGAACTTTAAGGAACCCTTTTACCCTAATTGGGGTTTGAGGTAAAAAAGTGAAGAAATTTGAGAGAAAAACCTTGGAAAAGGGCTGTTTTTTACAGCTTTTTGCCCATATTTTCTCCATCTATACCCATCTTCAAGGTTATCAATTTCAGACTTGGTCAAGAACGCAAATCTTGGCCCTTTTTCTCTTTTCTCCTTCTTTTTTCGTCCATCCCTGTTCAATTCAATTCAATCAAAACCAAACCCTAGCAGGAATTCAAAAAGAAAACAAAAACCCATATAATCAAACACCTACACTTTCACCTCCCCACTCTTGGCTGAATCGCTACCACCGGCGGCCACCTCGACCGATGAACATGTAGTCGAGGAATTCGGCGTCGATGGATGCTCACCGGTCGTCACCGACTCTCCGAGACCCAAAGACTTCTTCAAAGCATCGTTGATTGGAGAAATAGGTTCCGACGACGAGCACGATATGTCGATGTTGGTAGAGAGGAAGTTGTTGTAGTCATATAAGAAATCAGAGTAAAACCCCACATTAGAAGGATCAAAAGCTTCAAAATTTGGGTAATAAGGATCCTTCTCATGATCTTCATTATTTGACATTGAAAAATCAAAGGAACCAGAAGAGCCGTGGGAATAGAAGCTACAAAGATGACCCTCAATTTGCTTCTTCTTTCTTCATTTCTTTTGGGTGTATGTAAAAAAGTGAACTTTACCTCAAATTTTCATAAAATTAATATATATATATATATATATATTTATTTATTTTAGAATATCTTTCTATGCATTAAATATCGTCACGATGATATTTGACTAATTAAGTGGAAGATTTTAAGAAGAGTCGTAATCGATATAAGAATATGGTTTAGAGGTCAAAAATTTGTGGTTTTTACAATACTAAATTATCAGAGTTAGGCAGAGATGTGTCACTGACATTTCACTGTGTCATTTACCTATAATGCAGAAAGACGTCCATGAGATTCTTTCTTTGTTTCTTTTTTAAGTTAACTTATTTTTCAAGAAAAATAATAAATATTTTATTTTATTATTATTATTATTATTATTATTATTATTTTCAAGTGTATGGTTTGTAAACTATAGAATATACGAAATTAATAATTGTAACTGTTCCTCTGTCACGCTTATGAATTGGACTATGATCCAATTTCATCATTTGTGAATCTTTACGCCTGCAACTCTTTCTTACATTTTTGTATTTTTTTTTTTTTTTTCGTTCTTGAGTTCATGTATGTGAGCGTGTCATAGATAGTGTTTGTTTTCCTTTTAGATTACCTCTCAAGGTTTTTAAAACGTGCTAGGGAGAGGTTTCTACACGCATATAAAAGAATGTTTCGTTCTCATCTGCAACTGATGTGGGATCTCACACAAAATGTGTAGCTTCGAACATAGGAACAACTCAACGGACTTTGTAACTTAGATCAAGGAGGTAATAATTGCGATGGGATCATACATGTTGCTTAGAGATAGAGAAAAGAAACGTGCAACTAGTTAATATCGTAAACTACGAAAACAAACATAAAGGAAAGTGAAGAAAAGTTATGAAAATGGTGCATGGTGCGTGCACTATACATCTTTTCACTCTTACAACGGCATTCATTTAAGGCAATGAAATGATTACAGAATTGTGTACTATAAAAAATACCAAATTTTGATATGACATGCAAAACCAGCCTCATATGCAATGGAAGCCATGAAATGATACGAATCAAATAATATCGGCCCTATCTCAACCGGCTAAAACTACTCGTGATTCATTCGAAATTATTTTCCCAAAATCTAACGAGGAGAGATTTTCACACTCTTATAAATAATGCTTCGTTCCCTTCTCCAATCGATGTAGAGGATCCAACATCCTCATTGGCACACTGTCCCGTGTCTAGGTATGATACCATTAACAATCAAAGTCCACTGTTAGTCACTTTGGGCCGTTACATTTCACTATCAGTTTCATAATTTTAAAACACGTTTATTAGAGAGAAGTTTTCACACGTTTATAAGGAATGTTTTGTTCTCTTTCTAGAACCGACGAAGAAGAACATTATGTAGAGTTTTGGGAGGGTTAGAAACAAGGTATATAGCATGATGATCATCATGATATATAATATAATAATAATAATAATAATAATGTGTCCAATCTGATTGATAGTGATGGAATAATTATTAAAAAAAAAAAAAAAAAAAAAAAAAAAAAAAAGTGGGGAAGTCACCAAAGAAAGAGATCCCACATGGCATGTGACCAAACAAAATCAATGAACCCAGCTGTGGAAGAGCTTGACATTATTGACTTATAATTTTGTCTATTTTACAATTACAATTTTATTATTTCAATATGAATTATTATTATTATTTTAATTTTTATATGTAAAAATAAAACTGTGTTTCTTGCCACAATTTTAGTGAATGGGGGGATGTTATAAATTAGGTCTCTTAATTTTAATTTAATTTATATTTTTACATATTCATCAACTTAAAATATTAAGGGAATATTTTGATTGTTTAAGGATAAATAATAACATAATTAAATATATATTAATATGAGTGGAAATTTCAAAGTCAGAGAGATGCAGTCTTCCAAAGAAAAACAGCCTCCAACCACTAAAGTGGGGTTTTTATTTTTGTTTTTAATTTTTAATATTACCAAAAAGAAGGAATCTTTATAATTTAAATGTGTTGATGGGTGTGACCCCAAGACATTACATTTCATGTCAGAACCTTATAACAATTCATAAATAAATAAAATAAAATAAAGTTTGATAATCAAAACACCACTTTATTGAACCAGCTAACTATTTTTCGATATTAACGACCTCAAAAGTCAACATTTCTCTTTTACACAGAATGTTTTAGAATTTCAAATTAAATTTATGACATAAAACAGTGTGTTATTATTATAATTTTTAATTCTTTTTTGAAAAATATTATAATTATAAAAATAAAATAAAAAAAAATAGGGTGGAAAAAATGAGTTAGGTTGGATGTGATAATGATTTAGGAGGGTGTCAATATCACCTGTTATGTAGTAGGGTTAAAAAATAATAATCGTGTAATGTAGGGAGTTTTTTGCAAATTGTTGTACTTTTGAGGGGTGCGGCGGCAAAAAGAAGATAAATTGGTGGAGAAATGGTGTTCGATGGAATATTGGGCTTAAGTCTTGTTGGATGTCGTTTCATGTGGGCCCATTTATTAATGCTGCTTCCCACTAAGTCCAACCGACGTGTCACTTTAGGGTGTTTTATACTGGTTGACCAATCATAACGCTAATTAAAAATATTTTATTTTCTTCTCCAACTATTACTTAAAAAAAAAATAATTTATAGGCTTGGAGGCCCAAATGCAATGTACAAATAGTCCAGACCAATATCGTATGGTGGGCTTTCTATTTACTGTAAGAATTTGTCCAAAAATGGATGATAAAAAAGATTCTTAAAAGACCTCATATCAATGGAGTTAGTATTCCTCACTTATAAATCTATGATCATTCTCTAAATTAGCCGATGTAGGACTTTCATCATCCAACAATCGATACTTCTAGGGAAAAAAAAAAAGAAAAAAAAGAAATTTAGATCTTCAACAGCTTTAGAATGAGTGCAATCTTGAACCCAATGGGTCAAAAGTGAGAAAAAAAAAAAAAAAATTGGAATCCCACTTTTATTTTTCTCAAAATATTGCTGCTCACACTTCCTTTTTCCTTTTTTTATTTTATATTATTAGTAAGGAGTATAAATATTCACCGTATTGAATTATTGGTAATTTCAGTTGGAAATTTAAGCCTGGTTGAAATTAATTTTAAAATATTTGACTTGAGTTTATGTGGGTCAAAATGGTAGGTATTTTAGGAATAATTAATAATAATAAACGACTAGAAATTAATAAAGTGGGAAGAGTATATAATTAAATGGGAATTAATTGAATATTTTAGTTTAATTGAAAAGGGTGGAATTGGATAAAACTGATAAAGACAAAGTATTTAGACCATATGACCATAGTTTATCACTTTTCAATAGTTAATTAAAGTGAAAATGTCGCCATCTCCCTAACCACACTCCACATGAATATTATTAATAATTATTATATGAGAGAAAAAAAACATAATAAATAAAATTAAATATTAGAAAATATGCCTTCGACGAGACGTGGATGCACGGAAACAATTGCCCTTCCTTCCTTTTCTTTGCTTTTACTTTTATTTTTTAATCTTTTTCCTTTTATTTATTTATTTTTTTTTTAATTTTCTATTTTCGTACCATTTTTTGGATTAACCCGGGATTAGAAGAAAAAGAAAAAGCAACAAATATCCACATCAGCAGCATCATTGCTTACATCACTTGCCACCTCACCCCAACATACCCAACATAAATTCCAAAACAATCGGCCATTTTCCAGTCTTTTATTAATTTATTAATTAATTTATTTATTTATTTATTTATTTATTTACCATCTTCCATTGGCTGCGCTTTGGAACCATCCACTCCCATATTTAATTTAATAAAATCTTTACTGTCATTTCAAATGTTCGCTCGGCGCATCAAGTTCCCACTCACAAATCGTGTTCACTTCTTCTTCATAGGTGTCTCAATCTCAGAGACACCCACCTCTACAACTCCGACCACCACCACCTTCCGATCGTCGGCGGAGGAAACAGAGAGGGTCTCTGCGAATGGATGGGGGTTTCACTTGTACCACTCTAATCCTGTTCCTATTCCTCTTCATTCACTGTTTTTTCCCAGGTCAGAACTCTAATAAGCCCATCTTCTTTTCATGTTTTCTTGAATCAATGTATCCATTAACGTAGTTCTTGTTCTTCTGTCCTGTTCTTGGATCTTTTCTTTTATGCCTTTCATGGTGTCGACTTCCAATTTTGAATGCCTAAAAAGGGTTTGTTGTTTTGTTTGTTTTGTTTGTACCTTTTTCCCCCAAATGGAAACCAGGTTCATCAAGAGCAGATCCCACGCAAAAACAGGGCAAATACAGAGCAGCCTCTTCGACCCATCAAAAGGACATCACCACCCCAATAACCACCGTCCCAACAATCAACATCCCCACTACTTCCAACCCAGATTCCGTCTCCCCGACCATCACAACCCCAAGCTTTACCCCTGCAACCACCACCACCGGTGGCTCCAGCTGGTGCATTGCCAATCTCGGCGCATCGCAGGCAGCCTTACAACTAGCTCTGGACTACGCTTGCGGCATGGGCGGCGCCGATTGCTCCGCGATTCAAACCGGTGGAAGATGCTACAACCCAAATTCAGTTCGAGATCATGCTTCTTACGCCTTCAATAGCTATTATCAGAAAAACCCACTTCCGAATAGCTGTAATTTTGGAGGCACTGCCGTGATCACCAGCACTAATCCCAGTAAGCTATCTTTATCGCTTTCTGTAATTAGGGTTTTGGTTTGGTGAGTAATAATTGTGTTTTTTAATGTTGTCACAGGCAGTGGCTCGTGCGAGTACCCATCAACAAGGTGAGCCCTCTGCAACCAGTTTGCTCAATAAATTTTTGAAATGAAATTAATATGTTAGTTGAAATTGGATTTATTTGCATTTGCATTTGCATTTGCAGCACGAGTTCATCGGTTCTCAACACTACAAATTCAAGCGGCTCCACCGTGTTCGGCGCTGTTCCTTCCGGCCCCTCCACCTCCTCGTCGGCACCCAAATACTCCTCCTCCTCCGCCCTCTTCCTTCTTCTTATTGCTTTCTAGAAACTTGTGCAATTTCTCAAGGATTTTTGTAAAGTAATGTTGGGCCGGAATTTCTTTATAGGGAGAGTCTGATGGGTCTCTGGAGGCCCAAGAACGGTGTGCTTAATGGGCTTAAAAAAGCCCATTTGAAATTCGTGGCTATGTGGGCCCTACAATCGTCAAACAGAAGCAAAGCCGAAGCGGAAGCCAGGTATATTCCTTCATCGGCCCTTCTTATCTTTTTTCGCCACCACGCAAGGGGAAGGGCAAATGCGTCAATTCACCGTCTCTTGGGCCTTTACGTCGCTCTTACGCTACTATATTCTTCCTCCTATTTTATATAATAATAATAATAATAATAATAATAATAATAACAAATAAATAAATAATTGTAGAAGTCAAAGGAACCTAGACAGAATTTGTGTATTAATTATTTAATCTTAGCTTACCTAATTTCATTAAATAAAATCCCCATCTGATTCCATACATACATTTCTAGAATGTAACGGCCACTTGGGTTAATAAACTCACCAATTGTCATAAATAGTATGTCATTAATTCAGTCAAAAATAATAAAAAGAAAGGTTAATTAATAATTAATAATTAATAATTGGTGGGACCCACGCCTATTCCTATTATTTGCTTAGATTTTTTTTTTTTTTTTAAATATTAAAATGTTGCTTATTGGTGATATCCAATGGTTGCCATTTATAGCCCTAAATGATTGCTGAGTGGAATATCCACAATAAGGCCAAAACAATTATCAATATATTTATAATTCTATGTTCATTTTATATATATATATATATATTATTTTTATTTCCAATGTTTTCATTGGGAAATCTTCCACTCGCCTTGATTGTCTCCTGCCTACCCTTTACACAACAAACCCATCTCAAAGAAGCTTTCCAAAAGCCTTTTGGGGTGTTTAAATAATTACAATCATTGAAATATGTTATATTTAATATACTTATTTATTATATGATAAATAGATTTTAATATTACAACTTTAATTACTATGCCCTTTAACACGTTGGATGAAACGTCGACGTTTGGAGTTAGGTGTTCTATCTACTCATGCTTCTTCAACATCTTTGTTAATAAAAATATTATTTGAAAAACAAAAATAATATTTAAATATGTCCTAATTAACCCACACGTGTTAATATTTTATTTTATTACTATTAAAAAAAAGTCTTAATTTAATAAATAATTTTGCTGCGACGCGGGAGTACGGAAAGTGTATGACAGCTGAACGTCCAAAGTGGACCCTCTAGGGGGGGACTGGGCAATGACAACGCTGGAAAAATAGACCACGTGTCAGTATGACGTGCCAATATTCGGACACTCCACGGAATCGCACCGTAGAATCTCCCTTCTCACTCAAAATTAAAAAGAGGCCATTCTTCCCGAAATAGCCTCACATTCTCCTCATATTACCATCTTACCCTTCCCTTTCCTTTTCCCCCTTTTTAACATGCATGGTGCGTGCCTTTCGTAGTATGAAATTAACGGGAAGCAAACAAATTAAAAAAAAACTAAGTTACCAAATAATAATTATAATAATAAATAAATAAATGAATTTAAATTCGTCATTTATGTAAAAAAAATATTTTTATTCCTTCCAGAGTTATAATACTATATTATTATTTTTCTAATTTTAAAATTAAAAAAAAAAAACAAGGCCAGCCTCCATAATCACTCCTAAATTTATTACTCTCTATATCTCCGGATATTCCCTCCCATTTCCTCTCTGGACTTTTCTCTCTCTAGATTTTTTCTCTCTCTTTCCACCATTTTTTTTTTGTCGGTGCGGTGCAGATCCTGGAGCTTCCATTTCGTCGGTGGATATCGACTTATCTCACCGCTCTAATTGTAAAGGGAAATTGAGATTGAGGGGTTTTGTTTTGCTGTCTTTCCTTCTTTTTAATTTGGAATTGGATTTATTTGGCGGTGGAATTTGGAAGATAATTGTTGTTTTTCTAGATCTGTATATTGACTATTTTATGTCGACTGTTACAGAACTTATAGAAATCTAGTTGTCATTGGTGTTCTTTGTGCAAAAATAGAAGGGGCTTATTGGGTTTTGGTTTGATGGAGGATCGGGGAAGGGCGATGGAAAAAGTGCGCTGCTCTGCGTGTGATCCGGTAGGTATGCCAGCAACAGCCGCACGAATGTGGCTGAGTTTTTGAGAACCAATCGGATTCAGCTTGGTTTTAGTGACTTTTTTTAAGAACTCTTGAAGCTGTTCTTGCTTGAGAATCTGGAGTTTTCCCCCCATTTTGCCCAGGATGCAGCAAGATCAAGGCAAAAAGGTGAATCTCTCTCTTGAATACCTGATTAATGAAATCCTTTGTGTTTCTTGCTACAAGAAGGCTTTGATTTTCGGTTTTTGCAAGATTTCCAGATTCTGCCAGAAGGATGAACTTTAGTTACTTATTTATTCATCTTTATACATGCGATCTGTTTAGCTGATTTAGCTTGGGATGAAATTGAATTTTTCCTTCTTGTGGGTATTCTTCTCTAATCAGTTTATGCCAACAGAATTCGACCGAAATGGAGTTTTTCTCTGATTATGGCGATGCCAGTAGATATAAAATTCAGGAAGTAATCGGGAAAGGAAGCTATGGGGTTGTGTGTTCTGCTATTGACACACGCACTGGCGACAAGGTTGCAATAAAGAAGATACACAATATTTTTGAGCATATATCTGATGCTGTTAGAATTCTTCGTGAGATTAAGCTGCTTAGACTTCTTCGCCATCCTGATATTGTTGAAATTAAACATGTTATGCTGCCACCTTCACGGAGGGATTTCAAAGATATCTACGTTGTTTTTGAGCTGATGGAATCAGATCTTCACCAAGTTATTAAAGCTAATGATGATCTTACTCGAGAACATTACCAGTTTTTCCTTTACCAACTTCTTCGTGCATTAAAATATATCCATACAGGTTCTGACATTTGATTTGTTTTGGTACTTTACTGTGTGGGCTGGCTCAGTGTTGTTATTATCTTGTTTCGATCTTACAGCCTTAAGCTAATTGCTTTCATCCTCTTTAGGCGTATCTGACTCAAAGCTTCATTTTGCAGCTAATGTCTACCATCGAGATTTAAAACCAAAGAATATATTGGCAAATTCAAATTGTAAACTTAAAATATGTGATTTTGGATTGGCAAGAGTTGCGTTCAGTGACACGCCAACGACAATTTTCTGGACGGTATGTCATTTCCTCGAGATTTACCACGCTTTGGAAAGAATTTAGTTTGGTCAATACTCTAATGGTGTTCTTGTGTTCTTGGTTTGAATGATAAAAACTAAAGCGTTTTGTATTGATGATAACATAGGATTATGTTGCTACTAGATGGTATCGAGCTCCCGAGCTCTGTGGTTCATTTTTCTCTAAGGTATGCTTTTTCTAGAGTTTCTTTTCAGTTACTTACTAGACGAGACTGTCACTTGCTCAGGTGCTGTATATAGAATACTAGATATTGCAAATGATTTGTAAAAAGTGAGACCACTATCCAATGCTTTTCTTGATATATGTTCAAATTTTATTACCGATGACTTCGTTTCTTGGTCTTTAATCTTCTGACTTCTTTTTCCTGAGTGAACTCATTACTTGTTGTTTGTATACAGTATACACCTGCAATTGATATATGGAGCATTGGCTGCATATTTGCTGAAGTTTTAATGGGGAAGCCACTTTTTCCTGGTAAAAACGTCGTTCACCAGCTTGATTTGATGGCAGATCTCCTTGGAACTCCTTCACTAGATACAATCTCCAGGGTAGACAAATTCTTCAACTCCCACATTATGCTCTACAAGATTCCTTGGTTTTGAATCCATTCACGAATCTAGCAATGTTCTGTAGTTAACAAGGTTCTTCTGTTGATGAATGAGTAGGTACGCAATGACAAGGCTAGAAGATATTTAACTACTATGAGGAAAAAGCAGCCGGTGCCATTTGCTCAAAAGTTTCCGAACGCAGATCCTTTAGCGCTGAGACTTCTAGAAAGGTTGCTTGCTTTCGATCCAAAAGATAGGCCGACTGCTGAAGAGGTCTTGCATTTTCCTATAAAATCTTTACTCTATTTTGAATATGCTTATTTGAAAAGTGCGCTTTATATATGGTTATATTGGGGAAAGTTGAAACGTTTGCCTCGGTCTTTTGTGCCAGGCACTGGCTGATCCATACTTCAAGGGATTGGCAAAAATTGAGAGGGAACCTTCCTGCCAGCCAATCTCAAAGATGGAATTTGAATTTGAGAGGCGGAGGGTCACAAAAGAAGACATTCAAGAGCTAATCTTCCGGGAGATACTAGAATATCACCCTCAGCTACTAAAAGATTACATGAATGGGACTGAGAGGACAAATTTTCTATATCCAAGGTTGTGATCATCATCCTCATAATATAATTATCTTATCCTCTAGATTTCTTCTTATTATTTATTGTGCATATATGTGCAGTGCTGTCGACCAATTTAGAAAGCAGTTTGCACATCTCGAGGAAAATGGTGGTAAAAGTGCGCCGGTTATTCCTCTTGACAGGAAGCATGTATCCCTTCCAAGGTAAATATGATTCTTTCATCTCAAGAGAATTTTGTGCTTTTTGCTTCCTTGTCAGTAGAAAATAAGTATAATACCTTTGATGCTGTTAGAAATAATCTAAATCCATTGGCTAGTATTACAAATTGAGAATCTGTGCATTTCTATGGATCATGTGTCGTATAGCAAACATAAAATCGAAATACCAAATGAACATCATACCGGGGTGGGTGATGGATCTCAACAACTATCATCCTGAACACATGCCATCTCAGATTTTTGTGTATGGTTTGTAATACCCCAAGCCCATCCCTAACCGATATTATCTTCTTTGGGCTTTCCCTTTCAGGCTTCCTTTAAGGTTTTTAAAACGCATTTGGTAGGAATTAGTTTCCACACCCTTATAAAGTATGCTTCATTCTCCTTTTTAACCAACGTGGGATTATACCATCCACCCCCTGTCTCTCGTCCTTACTCGTCCTCACTGGCAATCGCTACCTTCTCCAATTGATGTGGAACCCTCCAATCTGCCTCTTTTTGGGGCCCAACATCCTTGTTGGCACATCGGCTCGTGCTGACTCTGATACCATTTGTAACAATCTAAGCCCACCGCTAGTAGATATTGTCCGCTTTGGCCTGTTACGTATCGCCGTTAGCATAACGGTTTTAAAACGCGTCTGCTAGGGAGGTTTCTCCACACTTATAAAAAATGCTTTGTTCTTCTCCCCAACTGATATGGGATCTTACTATGGTTGATCTTTTAAGTACTCCATTATTGTTTTGTATCATTCAATTATCATGTGATACATGGGATGTCTGATATAACCAGGTCAACAGTTGTACACTTGAACCCGGTCTATTCTAAGGACCAAATAAATAATGTATCCCTTCAAGATGTGAAGATCTCCGAAGAGTCATACCGAAAGAATTCCCGAGATAGTGAAGGACGGCTAACAAATATATCAAGGACCATGCAGGCACCACAGAAAATCCCGATTGGTACTTGTGCAACTTTTCTTATCTTTATATGTTTTGACCATTCAAAGATCAGATTTACCGATTCCTCGACCGTGTTTCACTTCAGCAGCTAAGCCTGGAAGAGTGGTTGGACCAGTAATAGCCGATGAGAATGGGAGGGTAGTGAAGGAACCATATGATCCAAGAACGTTGATCAGAGGAGCCATTCTTCCTCCTACATATCACTACCAAAAACCCATTGCTGGAAATCAAGAAAGATCTGCAGCAGAAACAAAACTGGATATTTCATTAAGAGCCACTAAGCAAGCATCCCAGTGTGGCATGGCTTCCAAATTAGGATCAGATATAGCCATCAGCATCGACTCAAACCCTTTTTACATGACACGAGCAGGAGTGAACAAGGTCGAACTCAAGGACCAAATATCCATCGACACGAACTTTCTGCAGGCCAAGGCGGCCCAATACAGTGGTCTGGGTGCAGCAACGGCCACCACCACATCGGTCGCTCAAAGAAAGGTGATTGCTGGTCAGTATAGCATGACGAAGATGTACTAGTAAGTAAGTAAATGTTGGTCACAGTGAGAGATGCTCCTGCAAGTACTCCTTCCTCGTACAGATAGAAAAAGGCATTTGATGATAGAAGAAGAAGTGAGAGGAGAGGAGGGTGGCCGTCAGCTCGGCTGGCTTGTGTGTAAGAATAGATGGAAGAGAGGTTAGTGGGCTCTCAAGAAATTAGATTGATGAGGCTATATTTAAATGCACAGTTAGCTTGTAATAAGAAACTGTACATTAGGAAAATGCAAAAAACAGCTATACTATAATACCTCGGCCCTTCAAAGCCGGAAGTGAAACCTTATTATATAAACCCCAATACAGAAACAAATTTGTCATTGATGTCTGATTCTATGAATTCACAATTACGTATCGTTGTTAAACTGTGTTTGCGTCCGTTTTAGCTCATTACATAAAACGTGTCGGTTTTCGTATTTTTCTACAAAATGCTTCGGGGCTATTTTAGTCCTTTAATAAATTCAAATCAATATTTAAATATCTCGATGGATCATTTTCCAGAGTTCACGAATAAATTCGGCCATTTGTTAATCCCAACAAAGAAAATTAAAAGGTCTGCGTTCGATCCATTCTGATATGGGCCGGGCAAATAAACAGCTCTGGCTCATCAATGTAATTGGGCCGTATTCATGAGCCCAAGTAAAGATTTTTTTTTTTTATTTGGCCCAATCCATGACCAAAAGCTGTTCGGGTCCCATGCCTGTTCGCACGTGCCTCGCACTACCTCTGCGCTTTTCCTTCGACCATTCTCAGCCGTCCATTATCAGAGATCATATTTGCTCGCCCTCCCTCCAATTTCCCTTTCCACACTTCCTTTTTTTTCCCTCCGAGAGAGTTGGGAAAGAAAAGCTTCAGACTGTCGCTGGAAAAATCCGCAACCCTAATTCGATTTCTGCAGGCCGCTGAACCAGAGAAATCAAAGGTTTGATCCTTCGTTTTTTTTTAATTCTCTTACGAAACAGGTTTTGTTGAATGTCATTTCCAGTATTTTTCCATCTTTCTTACCGCCGAATCTCTTTGTTTTCTCATTTAATCGCCAGTTTCTCGCTTGATTCTTTCTCCTAATTTTTTCCGGTTTGTTTTCTCTTCATCTAATTTTTTATTCCTCTTGCTTGGTGTGTAAGTATAGTGTTTTTTTTTTTTTTTTTTTTTTTTTTTTTTTTTTTTTTTTTTTTGTCTCGATAGTTGTTAGAACTTCATTTCTTTTGAATCATCTGGATATAGATGGGTATGCTTTTCTTTTTTTAGAAATTGTGTTCGTTGTTAACGTTCTGATTTGGGATGTGAACGTAGAAATATTAATGGAGAACGAGATTAACATTGTCGACGGCGGGGCGTCGGGGGACGATCCGACCACGGAGGATTTTTATGATTTTGATCAGCGGGAGAGCGATGCAAAGGTCGCAGAGCTGAGCCAGAAAATTGAGGTTTTGGAGCGTGAAAAGAAAAAATTGGTTGACGAAAATGAAGAATTCAAAGATAAGGTTAAAAAAGTTTCTGTGGAGATTGAAGGATTCAAGAGTGAAGAGGGGTCGCTGAAAGAACAACTGAAAGAAATAGAGAAACAACTTGAACGTTCTGAAGAGGGAAATAAGGTGTTAGAATCGGTTGCAGCGAGAGCATTGGAGCTTGAGACTGAGGTCGCTAGGCTACAGCATGATTTGATATCTGCAATGAATGGAGCTGAAGAGGCAAATACCGAAGTCGTAGAGTTGAGGAAAAATTTGGGGGAAAAGGGAGAAAAGGTTGAAGCTATGGAGGAACAGTTGGAAGCCCTGAAGAAAACAAAGGTGGAGAGTGAAAAGAAAGTCAGAGAATTGGAGAGGAAAGTTGGGGTGTTGGAGGTCAAGGAGATAGAGGAGAAGAGTAAAAAAGTTCGAGTGGAGGAGGAAATGAGAGACAAAATCGAGGCGAGGGAGAGGGAAATCACCAGTCTTAAGACAGTTGTCCAGGATTTGGAATTGATGATAACGAAGAACGAGCTGGAGTTAGATAAGTGGATCAAGGAGAAACTTAACGTCGAAAAGTTGTTGAACGAGTCGGAAGAGAAAACGAAAACGATCGAGTTGAATATGGCTCAGTTGCAGAAGGAAGTAGAGGAAGCACACAAAGTCATTGGTGGATTAAAGGAGAAAGCATTGAATACTTTGAATGGAACTGCAGAGGAACTCAAGTCAGCTTTCAAAGGTGCAGAGAAGGAGTTGAACTCGAACTGGCCTGTAATTGCAGGTTCGACTGGAGTCGTTGCTGCCATAGCTGCACTAGCCTTTGCTTTGTATGGAAGGCAAAGATAGATCGTGATGCTACGAAGGCAGATAGTTGAGGGTGGAGGCTTAACTCAGAATATAGCCAAAAGGGTAAGGTTCATGAACTGCATATCTGCTTCAGTTTTGTTAGATATGTTTGTTTATTTGGTGGTTTTTTCCAAGCCAATAAGTACTGGTTGGCGCTAAATTTTTGCTTCAAATGATCTTCTGAAGCCAAATCTTGTTAGTTAACCAATTTAGTTCAATCCCACTGTTATAGATGATTAACCAGACAAGTCTTTGAGCTATACTTGTTTCTTGCATTTCTGAGTTGTTTTCAATGCATTCTTGCATGATATGCCAAAATTTGGCAAATTTTGAAGTGCCCTTTTTTTGAGTCTCCACTGCCTCCACTGCCTCCACCCTCTCAATTGATTATGTTATAAATGCACCAATAAAACAGCAACAGCAACAGATGAAACCATGAGAAGCAAACAAGCTTCTGCTCTGCTCGCTCTCCTTTTCACTTTGGTTGCTGGGCTGGTTTCTCACAGCCTGGTCATCCCTGTATTCTCCACCGCCATTCATTCCTGACCAGAAAAGCTATTACTCTCCTTACAGGTTTCACATTCTTTTAAGTATGCTATGCTGTAATAGTAGTGACTAGTAGGCTTACAACATTGCATTGCAGGTTCACATGGCAGCCCTATACCACCATCACACGTCTATGGAGGAACACCACCGCATTATCCCACACCAAACCCTTCGACGGCTTCGACACCGTCGAAGCCTATGGCTGGTGGTGGTGGATACGACAATCCTCCATCTTCTATAAGAAGTTGCCCACCAACCACCTTGGTTGATTTAGGCACTAAGTATTTCCACGGGTATATATTGTCCTCTTCGGAGAAAGTTTCCACACTTTCATTAGAATGCTTGGCTCACTTTTCCAACTTATGTGGGATCTCACAATCCATTCCAGACTCAACGTCCTTGCTGTTGTTATGTGAGATTTTACAATCCACTTTTTGGAGTCAGCGTTCACACTTGTTCATCTCCCAAATTGATGTGGGATCTCACAATTTATCTCCTTTTGGGGCGCAGTGTCTTCGCTGGCACACCCCTCGATATTGTTCTATTTGGGCTTTCTTTTTCGAGGTTTCCCTCAAGGTTTTTAAAACGCGTATATTAGGAATAACTTTTTACAACTTTATAAAGAATGTTTTATTCTTTTCGGTAATCGATGTGAGATCTCATGAAATCACAATTTGTTCCGGGCACATTCAAACACAAGGGTCTATGGTTTGAAGGCCGTCCGAGAACTCTCTTGAAAGGAAGAAGTACACGTTGAAAGTGGTGGATTCAGTTGCCACGTAATCCCCAAACCCCAAATCTAATGAATGTCCACGTGGTGTCCATTAATTGGGTATTTATGAAATCTAGGGCAAGCAGCAGCAACGGCATCCCATGTTAACCTCAAATTACGCTATATTGTGGTGGGAACCCGACACGGCAATTGGTGTCGTTTAAAAGAGAATAAATTAAATAAATATTTTATTTATTAAATTCTTTAACTTACTTTCTTACCAATTAAATCTCACCGACACCAACTCAATGTTCCACAACCTCCACCTTCCGTGATTTTAGGACTAACTTTACCCACTCCTTTTTACTGTTTCTTTCATTCAGCTTAAATATCTTTTTTTACTGAAAATTACAAATTTTACATATTCTAGATATTCTATTAATTTACAAAAATAAAAATTTTATATTTCATGTAATATAAATGAGAATGCTACTTCAATATTAATCTATGACCTAACACATGAAAAATATATATATATATATATATTTGAAAATAAAAAGGTCAGATAAGATTAATTAAATATAAACAACAATTCAAAAAAAAAAAAAAAAAGTTGTATTTATAAAATATTCGTAGCCAAAAAAATTTGCATGCAGGATAGCAACGGCTGCTCCCATTTCCATATATATCTATCAATGCCATTCTTTTGACTTATAAATTAAGAAACTAATCAATTTTTTTTTATTAATAAAAACAAAGTAATTAAATGGACCTCCTCATTAAACCAACTTCCAAATATTTTTAATCCCCCATTCCTATTTTCTTTTTGCAAACGAAATATATATATATAAATGTAACACTCATTTTAATTTGGCAATAAACTTTAAAAATAACTCATTTTTTATCCATTTCTAAAACTAAAATTTTCATTGAAAAAAAATCATGGAAAATAAAGCTAAGATTTCCTTGTATTGAATCTTATGATTAGGGTTTCAAATTTGTAAAGGTGTATTTATACCCATTAAAAAGGTATAGAATCTACATTATTATTAAGTTTTCATTAAAATAGTTAATGATTATATTATTTATTTTTGGTATTAATTGAAAAATTGAAATAATCAAACAAGGAATCCTTTGGCTCCGGCGTTATAGGCAAGCGTAATGGAGTGGCTAAAGGAGAGTGAAACACAGTGTGTCGGTGGCAAATGGACACCCAATGGCAGATCCGTAAATAATAGTAAAAAACAAGGGTAATATTTCTGTACTCCTTTTTTTTTATTTCTTAATACTTTTACCAAGGTTAAATTATTTAAAATATGTATAAATTAGATTTTAAAAAAACAAATTATTGGGATTTAGGGTATTTTGAGATTTAAAATTATTCCTTTTATATTTCCAAAAGCATAATGTGGACAGTACTCATAAAAAAATAAAAAAAATAAAATATTTAAAAAAAAAAGACATAAAAGGGCAGTTGGGCATAGCTGGTGAGTTCGGCAGAGTGTGAAACCGTGAGTCTCTCTAAAAAAAAAAGCCCGAGTCGTTGCTCCACTTCCATCCTCTTCTCGCCTTGAATGGATTCTTCACCACGATGAACTTCTATATCTCCACCACCGGCATTAAGAAACTCACGATTTCCAACTCCGCCGCCCTCAAGCCGCCGCCTCCGCCGCCTCCACCGTCCACAGTGCCTAATCGTAGAATCTCCACTCGCTCAATCTTGCCTCTCCTCCTCACTCTCGCAATTGTTCTCCCGTTCTGTTTCCTTCGAATCGCCTTTTTCGTCCTCGAATCCGCCGCCGCGTGTTCCTCCTCCATCGGTAACTTCCTCCCCGTCCTTCGATTTAATTACTACTTTATCCCCTTCCTTAACTGTTTATCTTTTTGCAGACTGCTCTGGATGGACGCTTTTCAGCGGAAATGACGACGCATCTTCGGTTAGTTCTCTCCCTCTTTTCCATCTTAATTCCGAATATACCCCTAAGCTTCCACTCCGCTTTTTTTTTTCTTTTTTCTTTTTTTTTTTGGATTTCCACATTTTACGTTTCTCCAACTACTTCATACTCTTTCCTATAAACTGACAAATGCATTTATAGTACCATGAACTTGAATGCATCTTCTCCATATGCCAATTCATTTTTTTTTTAATTTAAATAATTTTAGATAACTATTTTAATCTTAAACTAATATATTAAATTAGATTTTGTTATAATTGTATACATTTTTTAAAAAATATATTTACTTTTTGACTCGAAAATTCCTCCAATATTGTATATTGAGTTCAAACATTATAAGGTTGTAAATGTTGTCAACTAGCCATTTTTATTAAGACCCATCGATGATAAGATATTACTAAACAAGGTAGAAATAGCACTGATTAATAGTAAATTGCTTTCAATTTACTCAAATTCAATTTCAATTTTTTTTTTTTTTTTTTTTTTGTGATTAAAAAAATGGAAATGAATTGTTGTTCCATTTAGCAGTAGGCAGCTTTTGGGACATGTGGCTACTAGCTAGCAATCATTTGATTTTGGTCCACTTGAGCTTGGAAAAATAAATAATATTGTCTTCTATTTCAATATCTTTCAACCCACGTCGCTCTGATTGTGATGCCTCAATCAGTGTTCAAGAAAAATTATCTCTTAAAACAGAGAAAATGATTATGGTTACGTATTGGGTGCTAGATATGACCGTCCAAGCGCACTACTAATAGATATTATTTATGTATAGTTATTAGCTTCACGATTTTAAAACGCGTCAACTAGGGAGATGTTTCCCCCCCTTATAAAAAATGTTTCGTTCTCATAATCTACCCCTTTTAGGGTCCAGCATCCTCGCTAGCCATCGATGTGGACTCCCCAATACGTTCTTTCTAGTACACTGCCTCATGTCCATTCCTTTTGGGGTTTAGCCTCCTTGCTGGTACATTACTTGGTGTTTGATTTTGATACCATTTGTAACCGTTCAAGCTAAGCCCACTGTTAACCGATATAGTTCCTTTTGAGGTTTTCTTTTGGATTTTGTACCGACTCTGTATTTTGTTCTGGCTGTGAATATGAATGACAGAGACTGAGCGAGGAATTCTTAAGATTAATGGTGGATTCAAAGGAAAGTGGGTCTGTGGGGAGTGGCGATGGAGATGGAGTGGGATCCTTCAACGAGCTTGTCAAAGACATGATTTCTAAACCACAGGACATGAGGGCCTTCGCATTCAAGACTAAAGCTATGGTAATCCTCATATCATTCTGCTCCCTTTAATCAAACACAAGCCCTTCATTTTCTTATTGACATCTTCCATGGCAGCTTCAAGCTATGGAACAAAAGCTCAAATCTGCCAGAAAACGTGAATCTGTGTATTGGCATTTAGCATCACATGGCATTCCAAAGGGCCTTCATTGTCTCTCTCTCAAACTAGCCGAAGAGTATGCTGTTAACGCCAAAGCTCGAGCTCGTTTGCCACAGCCTGAATATGTTTCTCGCCTTACCGACCCCTTCTTTCGTCACGTTGTTCTCTTGACCGACAACATCCTCGCCGCTTCTGTTGTCGTCTCGTCCGCTGTTCGGAACTCAGCCGACCCTCGAAAGCTGGTCTTTCACATTGTCACTGACAAGAAAACATACACCCCAATGCACGCCTGGTTTGCAACCAATTCAGTTCATGATTCTGTGGTGGTTGAAGTTAAGGGACTGCACCAATTCGACTGGTCCGAGGATGTCAACAGCAGAGTTCATGATATGTTCGAGATTCATCGCTTGATCTGGAAGCGTTACTATAATGATTTCAAAGAAGCTAACTTCGGGTTTGATGGGGAAGATCAAACACAATTAGATGTTCTTAGCCCCACCAGTCTCTCCCTCTTGAATCACCTCCGCATTTATGTTCATGAGGTAAGCACTTACATAGTCATTCCAAATGGGCACATATTAACTGAACTTTGTGCATATGATTTGTTCACCCCTTGATTTAAAGCTACAAATGTGTCTCATTCAGCTGTTTCCAGATCTGAAGAAGGTCGTGTTCTTGGACGATGACATTGTCGTGCAACATGATATGTCCTCTTTATGGGAC